GACAACAACAACATTTCTGGCTTTGATGATAAAGAGGGATTAAGAACTGTGTTGGGTCATCATCATTGTGTTTCTGGATCACCAGACAAGTTTTTGTTCGGGGATTAAATGTTCAATCAATGTTCAGATGATGAAATAATCGAAAAGATCGAAGATCGAAAAATTTAAATAAGAAATCAAGGAGACATTTGAAAGTTGATTTGGAAAAAAACAACAACAACAAGCAAAAATATCGAGAAGAAGATTCTTGAATCGAAATTGTTATCGTCGTTGTTGTTGTCGTTAATGGATTTGAGATCGAATCGATGAATGAAAATCGATTTCGATTGGTTTTTTTTCTCTCTTGTTTTTATTGTTGTTGTTGTTGTAGTTGTTAAGCACTGCATCAAACACATCAAGCACAACAACAACATGAAATCTTGTTGTTGAAACAGTGATGTGATGACTATACTGGTCGATTTTTTTTCTGTTCTGTTTTTTGGAACCAGAAACCCACAAAAAAAAACAAAATAGAAAGTTGGTCGCTGGTACTTTTACTTTCAGTTTGGGTTTTTCTTTCTGGTTTTGATTTGTTGTTGGTCGGACTGGTCTTGTCCGGGAAGAAAAAAAAGATTCTGTGTGTACTGCTACTGTCGAAAAACGATCCGACCAGAATTCCAGAATTGACTAGTACAGAATTTTCGTTTTGTTTCATTCAAAGATGCTACCAATTCTTTTGCTGTTTTTTGACTACTAACCAAAGATGTTTAAGGTTTTTTTTTGCGAATTGGAAAGTTTTTATGGCGATGATGATGAGGATGGTGAATGACGATGGGCCAAAAACTTGTATGAAACTAAAACCAAATGGTTTTTTATTTTTTTCAAAATTCTGGTCGGTCGTTTGGTCGATCTTTCTTTCTGTATATTTTGGTGATTCGAATCAGAAACTGTAACTGTTTTTAACGAATATGCTACTACCGAATTCGTTTCTTTCTTCCTTTCTTCTTGTGCTTCTTTCCATTCAATATATGATTCTTGTGTGTGTGTGTGGGTCGCGATTCTATGCATTTTTTGTTTTTGGCTTTCTTGTCTAAAACAAGGGGAGAAAATCAAAAAACTGATACATTTCCACTGAAAAGAAATCCCATCGAAATAGAAAGGATACTACCATAGAATCTTTATTCATTTCTTTTTTTTCGACTTTGTTTTTTCTGACTTTTTTTTCTGATTCTTTATTTACAATAGAATCGCGCCAACCAAACAACCAAAAAAAACAATGCTTGAAAAAATGAAAGCCAAACAAAAAAGGATTATTATTGCTTTAAATTCACTGAATGGTTATTTTCATTGTTTTTGTTCATTGCCCTTTCCTTTTGTTGATTTCTTCTTTAGGTTTTTTTTCAAAGATTCTGCCATACGATTCGCTCTCTTTTTTTTTCTTTCAATTTATTCAATTGAATAATGAATGAAATCAGATGATGATGATGATGATGATGAAAAAGTTAATTCCGGTTCTGTAACAATTCAATCACAATGTTTGTTTTGAAACACACTTCAAATACAAAACAGCGACAAACAAACCAAAAAATTATACGAAAATTCTTTCAACCAAAAAAAGGGAGAAAAAAATCAGCCAAAACAAACAAACAGCCAGTCAGCCAGCCAGCCAAATACAAATGACCAGAAAGACCCATTAATATCAATATTGGTTCGGTCAACACATATTTCATTCATTTAGTTTAGTTTTTTTTCATTTCTAAAATGAAAAAGTAAAAAAATTTTATATTTTCAATTCATTTAAAAGTTTTTTACTATCTTGACAGGTAGTTATTTTTCATTTCATTTCTATTTCGATAAAAACAAAAACCCAATCTACGTCGAAATAGTTTCGAATGTTTGCCTTGTTTGAATACATTTTGATAATCCAACAGGGAGAAAAACTTTCAAATAAACAAAACAAAACAGAAAAAAATGAATTATTCAAATGAATTTCGAGTGAAAATAGATTACCTGTTTTGTTTTGTTTTGTTGGGAATCCTTATTATTGATATTATCGTATATGTTTGTTTTTGTTTGTTTATCTCTCATTAGTTAACTGCAAACAAAACACAGAATAACCAATTATCTAAAAAACGCAAAGAACCTTGTTGAATTTTTTATTCTTCATTCGATGATGATGATGATGATAATGATTATTGGACAAGATGATGATGATGATTTTATCATCATCATGTCTTCATTTCCATTATTATTATTATGTTGAAACAAAAGAGACCAGAATATTCTTTTATTCTTTATCCAGAATTTGTTGTTGTTGTTTTTACAGTTATTAACTTGTTCCATTTATTGTTTATTGTTTATGATATCTTTGTTTTATTCTGGTTGACCTGGATAGCCAAAAACAAAACCCAAAAATGGAAATTAATTAATAATCATCGTCATTCATTCGCGTTTCATTGTTGTTGTTGTGGTTATCGTTTCAGGTTGGTTGGTTGGTTGTTGTTTGGCAAAATTCTTTGATTTATCTTATGGCAGAATGTCAGAATTTTTTTGTTTCTGCTGATAATTTTGTTTCAGTAAAACGCAAGCATTGAATGGAATATTGAATAAAATGGCCATGAATACCAGAATGAATGATATGGATTTGCCAAAAAAAATTAACCATAACCAAAACCATTATCTTGAATTCAGCAGGTGTACTTGGTTCTGCAAAAAAAAAAAATTGATTGACCAAATCATCATCATCATCATCACTTATGGAATATTCTATGGATACATTTTTGTTGTTGTTGTTGTTGTTGTTTTGGTTGGATTTAGATATCAATAATTTATATAAATAATAGAGAAGAAAAACAAAAATACCACTACGAAACAAAAAAAGCAAGAATTCTTCATTTTTAATCTCAATCAATTTGATATTTCCAAGTATCGCTTTCATTTCTCTCTCTCTCTCTTCGCTATATACAAAAGTCAATTCTGTTGGATTTTTTGTGTTTTTGCAAGAAAAAACCAAAAACAACAACAACAACATTTACCATGTTGTAACACACACACATGTTTAGCATAGAGATTAGTAAATAACTTTCATTATAACTATGTTTTTTGGGTATACTTTCTTTAATCGATGTTTTTTTTCTTTTGGTATTATTATTAACCCAGGGGGAAGAGTGGAAAGAAGAAGAATGGGGGGACACCCACGCACACATTAAGTTCTGGTGGTTCAAAGCAAAACAAAAACAACAATAACAAAAAACATGAATTGAATTGAATGGTAATGAATCACAGAATACAATTTGATGATTATCATTTTCAAAGTTTTGCATTTTTTTCGTTTTTGTTGTTGATCATAATATCAGGGCGTTTTTTTGAAAAAAATGCAAAAAAAAAACAACAAAAGTGATGAACGCCCGAAAGAAGAATGAAGAAAATTTGCTGAAAAATTGAACAACAAAGCGCAGCAGAATCAATTGAATCATCATCAAGAATATTCTGTCGAATATTGTATCGAATGGATACAATGATGAAACAGAAATGTTTTTTGTTGATTGAATAAATAAGATTTTTAGAACCATGAAAAAATTATTTTCCATAAATACTGGGAATAAAGTGACTGAATATGAAAAATAATAATCAAAAACGTTTTTCGTTTTTTCGGTTTTTTGTTTGGTTTTTCTGAATAGACGTGACTTTAGTTATTTCAACAATTGCCCATTCACAATTCTTTAACTACTGTATACAAGAATATTTTTCGAATATAGACGACGAAAGAATGTTTCGGGAATTTTGAAATATTTTCTCGTTTTTCGGGTGAAAAAGGTGTCAATTCATGCGAATATTATATTATTTTTATTTTTTTCTGGTTGAAAATGGCTATTGTATTTGGATAACGTTATTATTACGTCTTTTAGTCTTCAATGTTGTTTGAGAATGAGAGAAGCTCTGTGCTGCTTATAAGCCGATAAAAGTATAGTAAGGGATGATGATGATGATAATTTTGAAAATGGCCAAAGTGGATTGTTGTTGTTGTTGTTGTCGTTTACGATATGGTTATTCAGTTTTTTTTTCTCGGTTGGTTCTTCGTTTAAATTTTTTCTTTTCTGACTAGATCTCATTTTGTTACTCGCTTTGTTGTTGTTGTTAAAGTTGTTGTCCAAATCCGATTATATTTTGGCCATTGGTGATGATGATGATGATGTCTATATTGGCACTTTTGAATTTGGATAATTTCGTTGTTTGTTGCTCGGGTTGTCCAGTTTTACATTGACATTGTACCAAAATAATGATTAATTTTCTACATTCTTTTATCTGGTTTTTCACAAAAAAATAGCGAAAGAAAAAATGTTTGTTTGAATTCCCGAATTGCAAAATCTTATTCCAAATGAATTTCGAATGAAACTTATCATTCGAAATTCGATTTGACCGTTCATTAATGACATGACATAATCATCATTATCATCAAAAGCCATTAAGTTGTTTTCAACCAAAAAAAAAAAAAATTTATCATCATTAAGATTCTTTTTTTAAAAAAATAGAAATTTTTTTATTTCAAATAATAATGATCTTAATTACAAAAATTGTAAAAAGTTAATGACTATTTTCAAGTTTTATTTTTCGGCGGGCATCCGGTATACTTATAATAATGTTTTTTGTTTTCGTTTTGCCAGAAGAGATTTCTGTCTGTTGTTTTTTTACATTGAAAATTAATTTACAATATTTTTTTCGAACCATACAGAACAACAACAACAACAAAAAGATAAGGACCGAAACTTTGAAGAACTGATCATAAAAAAAATCTCCTTTTTTTTCATTACAAACGATAATAATTACAACAACAACAACAACATTTTTTGTTTTTGTTTTTTCGGTCGAGTCAGCAAAAATGATGGAAATTTTTCTTCGAGCTGAAAATCTTGACATAATCAACGTTTTTTGTTGTTGTTTTTTTGTTTTGTTTCCCGAAAATGATGATGACGATAATCATTTGAGAGAATTCGAATCATTCAAGAAGAATCATAATCAAATGATTTTTCATTATAATAAACAGTTTTTGGTGAATAATCATTGAAATTTTCATCAAGTTTAAAATCTGTTTTTTCAAAAGAAAATCAAACAAAAGCCAAAATTATCAACAAAAACAAACCTTGTTCATCATAACCAACATCGACTAGATAAAGACCACAAGCCGGTACCATAGTTGATAATCGTTTATAAATATCATTGGATATTGGATGACGTCGTGACATCATTGTAATTTCCTCTTCATCATCATCAACATTTTCCGGTAACATTGATCGTAATTCATCAATACTAATATGACCACAACCAACATCAATAATTGCTGCAATCATACGACGAATTTGATTATAAAGAAATGAATTAGCTTGTATAAAAAATTCATAAAATTCAATTTTATAAATTTCATTATTACTATCGATAATACCACTACTATCGATAGTATCGATAGGAAGTTTATAAAGTTGAAATTTTTCAATAGTTTTTCTTGGATCACGATAACGATTTTCGGATGAAAGTGTTGTAAAATTACAAAAATTATGACGACCATGAAACAATGAACAACAATCATTCATTGCCGAAATATTTAATGGTCTGTATGAAAAAAAAATTGATTTAATGAAAATTAAAATTAATTTAGTTATTTAATTTAGTTATCGAAAGAAAAGAAAATCTCGAAAAAATACAATACCCGGAAACAATATGGCAACGATTTATCCAAGTTATCGGTAATAATGAACGATATTGATCATATTGAATTTGTTGTTGTTGAATCTGGCCATTAATTCGGTTATTATTATTATTAAGATTGTTGTTGTTGTTGTTCGGAAAAAACGTAGCAAAACGATATTTATATGAACGATATTTTGCATTAATACGGCTATGAAATGTTGATGAAACTAAACGTACATCTGAAATTCTATGCTCGGTTCGGTTTTTTAAAAATTGAAAAAAAAATTTCATTTTATCGATGATTGAATTGAACACAAACACAGACATACGTTATATCGTGACCAGAATATGAAAGTAAACGATTTGTGGCCGATAATATAAATGTTGGACGATAAATAGTATCCGGTAATGGATGTGTTAGATCAACATTTGCTGTATTCATTATAGCATGAACACCCGAATCAGTACGTGAACTTAATGCCAGCCGGACACCATATACTGGACATAATGCACGATTCATTGAATTCTGTATGGGTTTATTTTTTTTTCGTTTGAAAAAAATGAAAAATTTGAAAATTTCGATTCAAAACAAACAAAATTTTTTGTTTGAAAAAAAATTGATATTTTCAAATATCTACTTTACTTCGATAGCCGCTTGAATGGTACCATCTTCATCGTTGTTAATGTTTTTGGGTTTGTTTCGATTGGCAAATCCACCGCCATCGCCATTATCATCATCATTGATAATATTACATCGTCGTGTTTGTCGTTGTACACCTCTGTTTTTTTTTCGGGGAGAAATTTTGTTGAAATCGAAAAAAAATCATTATCCAAAATCAAATAAATTTCCAACGAATTTCAATTTAGTTTTAATCAATGGAAAAAACAAAATAGAAAAAATTGTAAAATTTCAAAATTTCCAATATCCCACTCTCGCTAGATCAATATTTGATTTTTTTTCTATCTATCTTTTCAAAAATTTTGATTTTCAATTTATTTTCAAAAAACAAAATCATTTTTTCATCATCAAAATCATCATCCGAAAAAGAAAACATACTTGTATCTGGTTCCAATATAGGCAATTTTTAGAAAATATCTACACGTACATAATGTGCCAATATTTGACATCTTTTTTTGTTTGTTGAAAGTAAAAAAATTTGTAATGAAAATATCAAAAATCACAAAAACCGCCGAAAAAATGCCGTGGTCAGCTTTTGATGTTGATCAGCTGATCGTGGAAATCTTACCCTAATTACACACTTAGACATATATGGTGAGTGATAATGCAAAACAAAATGATGCAATGCAGTAAAGCTAACATTTAGTTTTTGCACAGATATCGCAATTGAGTTGATTTAAGCGGAAAAAGCCAAAAGATTAATATTCAAAATGTCATTTCATTTATGAACAGACTGTCATTTCCTATTATGAATTCAAATATGTTTTTTTAATTCTGAATAAAATATTAATCAATAATTATTATAATCAAATTAACAAACAAACAAACAAACATCTAATACATTTTATCAATTTAAAAAGATATCATAGTTACGAAAGAAAGCGACACAGAGATATGAAGAAATTAAGAAATTAAAAGCAAAAACATTGTTGTTTCAATTGGAATTTTTCGTTGATGATGATTCATTTGATTCACTTGTTGTATGTCGTTCATTATCGGCATCACTACGATTATCGTTAATATTACTATCATTAGGATTAGGATTAGGAATATGAGCTATCGGTTGTTGTTGTTGTTGTGAATTATCCAATGATGATTGTGATGATGAATTTGTATTATTTAATGCTTTCACAATCTTTGGATTATAAAGTTTTGGATCAGATACCATTCGAACGAAAAATGAACGTTTATAACGTAAACTCATTTGTCGTTTACGATCCAACATAAATACTTCATCAACTGATTCATTATCTTCATTATTTGTATCTTTCATTATTATGTTTGCTGTGGTTGTTGTTGTTGTTGGTGTTATCAATGCGGTTACAATTGTTGTTTCGGTTATTGTTAATGGTTTTTTCTTATCTTCCATTTCGATTATTTCAAATAGATCGGTTGCAAATTGTGCTATAACATTATATGCATGATCAATATCATCGTTTGATGCATTTTGTGCACAAACACAAAATCTGGTTACATATTTTCCGTTTAATGATGCTGGTACCATATGTAATTTACCCGATGCATTAACAGTGGATAAAAATTTTTGATTTGTTACATCCGAACTCTAAAAATCCGCGAATAAAAGGTAAGAAATCTAATGAATAAATTTAATGATAATCAATTTATACCTTTAAACGAAAACAAACCAAACCAAGTTTAACCTGATTAACAACTTCGAATCGATCATCTTTACGTAAAAGTCGTTCGAATCTTTTGGCCAATCGAACGTGCTATATTTCGAATGAATTAAAAAAATTTCAGGAAATTTTCTTTTTTTCCAAAAAAAAACCAAATTGTTTCCGGAAAAACTTACCTCACGAATATAACGTTGTAAACCTTCAATACCATAATTACGAATAACAAACCAAAGTTTTAATGAACGAAATCGTCTTGATAATGGTATACCCCAATGCTTGATTTGATTTGATTAAAAAATTTAAATGAGAATTTTTTTTTCACTAAAAAACAGATAATTTCAGGATTCTTACCCGATAATCAATAGCACGTTCAGAAAAACTATGCTGTAAATATAATGGATCAACAACCAATGCTTGTGTTAATTTAAAACGATCACGAACCCATAATAATGAACAATCAAAATTAACTAACATCCATTTATTTGGATTCATATTGAATGATGATGCATGCTGCAAAAAAAAAAGATCAGAAAAAAGTTAAGAAATCAATGGTTAAAACACATTTCGGTCATTGGCAAATTCATTACCTCAATTCCTTTCATAAGATATTGAAATTCTGGACAAATAAATGCATTACCAGCATATGCTGCATCAACATGTAACCAAATATTTTCTCTTGAACATATTGGTCCAATTTCATTTAAAGCATCAAATGAACAACATGATGTTGTACCTAATGTTGCTGATACAAAAAATGGTATCAATCCATTACGTTTATCTTCATCCATTGCTTCACGTAATGATTGACCACGTAATGAAAAATTTTCATCAGTATCTAATATACGTAATTTTACCAATGCAATCATTGCTGCTTTTTCAACACAAGAATGTGCTTCTTTTGAACAATAACCAACTAATTTTGATAATAATGAACTTTCATCAATTTGTTGTTCATTTTTAGAATCTTTTTGTAGTTTTGTTTGTAATTCTTTGATTGCAGCACATCTTGCAGCCAATAATGATACCAGAACACAATCACTTGCTGAACCCTGTTGTTGTTTGGAAAATTTTTAATAAATTTTTCTGTCAAAATTATCAAATTGGCATACCTGTATAACACCACCACCACGACTTGAATGATTACTAAAACAAAGAAATTGTTCCGGCAGACCGATCATTTTACCCACCCAATCTAACATAATAATTTCTAATTCAGTACAAGCTGGACTTGCTGCCCATGAAAATCCAACACAACCAATACCATCGGAAATCATATCGGCCAATATTGATGGATAAGAATTACCGGCCGGAAAATATGCATGAAAACGTGGATGTTGCCAATGTGTAACACCGGGCATAATCAATTTTTCAAAATCATCCATAATATTATCCCATGATTCACCTTCGATTGGTGCTGATTCTGGTAGGAAATCTTTTAGATAACCTGGTTCAACATTAGGTGTTACACGTCGTTTATGAATAGTTTCCATATAATCAGCAATATAATCAACCATTTCTTTACCACGACGACGAAATTCTTCCGTATTCATACAGGTACCGGATTTTTGTTTGGTTTTAATTTTTCTTGATGAATGTCGATTATTACGATGATGATCAAGAAATGGTGGATCATTGTAATCATCGTTATCATCATCGTCATTATGACAATTATCATTGTTATTAATCATTGAGGATGATGATGGTGATGGACTATGTAATTGTTGAGTAAAATTTTTAAAATTTTCTTGTAAATCATTAAATAAACATTTAAATTTTTCAGCATGATTTAAATTCATTGTTTGCTGTTGTTGTTGTTCTGGTTCGATGGTAATTTTTGATGATTCGTTAATATTGTCGCCGTCGTCTTCGTCGTTTTCGTTTTCGTCGATAATGGCAACGACGTTTTTCGAAACTGTCGTCGCCGCCGCCGACGTAGATGTACCGTTCAAAAATGAACGACATTCGCCTAATAGGCGTAAATAACATAGCCAATCAAAATGCCACAGTTTGTCTATTGTCAAATTCAAATTCTTTGATTTAAGAAAAAGAAAAGAAAAATGATGATGATTTTGCTACCGACAAATGTACAGGATGGATTCGGATTTTGATTCGGATGAACAAAAAAAAAGAAGGACGGAACCAAACAACAATAACAACAAAAAACCGTTGAGCACGTTATTTTCCTTCAAAATTATCTCAATGAAGATGAAAAAAAATCAGGAAATATTATTACAGTATGTGCAAAGAGGATGCAAATAGAATGGAAAATTAAATGAAGAAAATTATCTTAAGAACCATATACCACTTCAGCAAAAAAACAAAATTGACCACTATAGATTGTCGTTTGTTTGTTTGTCTGATGAAAAACATCCAAATCAGATTGATTTAATTAATATTTCAATCATGCATACCAACAAGAGAATCACCAACAAACAAAAAACAAAAATCATCTTCAAAAATTTTGAATGAACATCAGTGAATGCCAAAAATTATAAACTGACTGACTGACTATATCCACCCAAAGCGTCTTCAAGTCACCACTAGTTGTTTTTTTTGTCACTTACTTATTTGGATCTTTATTATTAAAAACTAAACTAAACTAAATTAAGAAGAAGAAAAAGCAAACATTGAAATCATTTACCGGATACCACTACTTTACTTTACTTATTATTGTTCGGATAAGAATGGATGACATTCTCTTATTCTTTACGATGATGGTGATGATAATAATTGAAATTTGAAATCAAAAAGAATTTCGTTCGTTTTTCTCATCTTCATTTTGCAAACATCGACTATATTAACAGCATCTCATACATCAAATTATTCTGATCACCGTCATCAGACAAACATTCCAAACAAACAAAAAAGAAGAAGAAAAAAAGATAATTGATTTGACACTGATCATCCCACCATCATTGACAAAAAAGAAAAAATTGGAATTTCATTTTTTTTTGAACATAATTCTATTTCCACCCCCATAGTCAAAAGCACACTTTTTTTTAATTCATAAATTCTATTACCAATTCTTTTCCATCATCATCATCTTGTTCATTGTCACCATGAAATTAATTCTTTTCGTCCATCTCTCTTTTTCATCGATAAACCATTCTGTTGTTTGTCTGGTGTAATATTGATGATTGTTATTCTGGGGAAAAAAAATTCCAGTAAAATAGGGAGAAAAAAAATACCAATGTGGAACAACATTCAGTTCAAATTGAAGAATATATTTATTTCAGCAACCAGTTAAAAGGAAAAGAAAAAAAAAACATTATTTCATTGTGTGTAAGTGTGTGTGTGGGTATTCTATTCAATGAAAATTCCTTATTTTTTTTCAGCATCTCATAATTCAGTCTCCAACACTTTATTCGGTTGTTTTCGTTTTTTTTCTTTTTTACTTGTTCCATTTCAATTTCAGTTCAATGATGAAATTGAAGAATGAAAAAACTTTTTATAATCATACGAAAACAGGCAAAACTTATTATATGATTTTTCAATGACAATAGAAATTTTTTTTCATTCTTCTTCACTTTCGTCATTCGATCTTTATTTTCGATGATAATAATAATAGGGAAAGTGAATCAACACTGAAAGAAAGAATTATCTTTATTGAATAATCAGAAGAAGAAAAAAAATTGGACGGAAATATTTTTCCATCGCAAAAATTATCCCACAAAAAATACTAACGACCAAGACCGTTGGCGCCATCCATCGTCTGGATTTGAAATTTAAAAAAAATACAAATTTTTTTGTTTTTGTAATCAAAATTAGACAAGATAATTTTACAAGTTTTACTAATTATATATTTATTGAAAGGTGATATTATAATTATTTTATTTACAAACATCATAATGAATTGGATTGGCAAGCCAATGAAAAAAAAGACATTGAAAAAAAAATAATGATGATAATAAAACGGCTCGGATAATGATGGTGATGAAAGAAAAAAAAGAAAAAACCAACCATGAATGAAAAACCAATCAACCGATGATAATTTTTTTTTGGGAAAAGAGTTGAAGAAGTAGAAAGCGAAACCGGACCAAAAATAGCCGAATAGAAAAAAAATGTCAAAAATGAAAAGAAAAAAAAATGTCATCATCATCACAATCATGGATAGATCAAAATAATTGATAAGAGATTAGAAATAAATGTTTGACAATTGAACATTTTGAATGAATGAATGAAATGCTTGTGTGTGTGTGTGAAAAACAAACCAATTAAAATGGGGAAACAGAAAATTTTTTTTTTTTTTTGATTGATTGGATTGCAAGATGAAAGATCTTTGATAATTTGATATGAAATAAATAAATACGGATTGGAATATTGTTGTTTGGATTACATCATTCATTTGATTGATTGATTGATTGATTGAGAATTTCAAAAATTACGTAATTCGTTTCATTTGTTTTACCAAACACTGCATTTTTCACGTGGATTCATTGGTGTACCCGGTTGACATTTATATGCTTTTGAAAATTCAGCAAAATTACTTAATGTACCAATAACACGAAATTTACCCAATGAATGACGCCATGTTTTTAATGCATCAATCATACCTTCATCGGTCATTATCTGGCACCAACTTTGTGCAAATTTTAGAAAAAATAATTGATCATGTGTCATATTCAGGCCAGGTAAATAAAATTCATTTGGTCGTTGTTGTTGAGATCTACGAAATGCACGATATGATTGTTTAACACCACCATTATCGGCAATATTTTCACCAAGTGTTAATAATCCATTTGCCTTTATATATTTTGCAATTACATTATCATCATTAAAAATGAAAAAAAAATTAGAAAAAAGGATTAAAAATATCAATCAATTACAAAAAAAAACATACATTCAATGTTTCACCATGAATTTTAACTGTATAATTATTATATTGCATAATCATACATGAAGATTTTTTAATAAATCTATCAACAGTATTTGGATGCCACCAAAGTCTTTGATTACCAAATTGATCATGATGACGGCCATTCGAATCAAAACCATGTGTTAATTCATGTCCAATTACCTACATATATATCGATTGATTGATTATTGATTATCGATTGATTGTAACAACAAAGTAGTAAAATAATGAATAGAATTTCAATTTAGGAAAAACAAAAAAACATGACTATCAATCGATCGTTATCGATCGATAATTATTATTGCTACACAAATCAATATGCATATCAAATGTGTCAAGATCAATGTGTGTGTGTTGAGGAAAAAACAAATAATGACCAATAAATGAATATTTTAGCAAAAATATTCTAGGTCAAAATATTTCAAATCATTTTGTTTGTTACTTGAGAAACTTTTTTCTGAAACAAAGTTCATGGATAAAAACACAGAGACAAGATTATCCTATGCTATCCTATTACAAACGACGTTGTTCATTTTTTTCAATATTGACATTGAAATATTTCACAACTGAAACAACAAAAATCGTTAAAGAGTTAGCTTTTTTAAGAAAATAATGAAACAAAATTTGAAACAAAAATGGAAATCATTTCACATAGAAACACATAGAAAAACTGCAAAATTGTAAAATTTGTCACACTCGACCGGATATCTGAAATTTTGTTCTGTTTTTTTTTTTGACGAAAAACATTTCCACAAAAAAAAACAAACTTACCGAACCAATAGCACCATAATTTAATGCAGGTGGATAATTTTTATTGAAAAATGGTGATTGCAAAATGGCTGCCGGAAAGCCTTTGTTTTTAAACAACAAGAAAAAGTTTATTTTTAAATGTTCAATCAATTAATCAAGAATTAAAAACATACTCATCAAATTACGAAATCGATGATATTGTGCATTAACAACACTTGGCATAACAGTCCATCTAATTATCAATTTTATTTTCCAATTGAAAAATCAATTAATTATTTCATTTGAAAATATTCAATTAACACTTACTTAGTACGATCATCAACTGATGATAATTTTCCTTGTGATTTTTTTGTTGAATTACGTAAATAACCGACAACATTTTCAAAATATGTTGAATTTTCAAATTCCAGCTGATTAGATAAGCAGAAAAAAATGAGTTTGATGCAATGAAATATTATGATAATTTGTTAGACAAGTTTTTCATCATCATAAAATGTTATGACAACCCTGACATAACTTTAACATAGAAAAATGTTCAACACAGAAAAAACTTACATGATCAAAATCTTTATCCAATAAAACCGGATCAAGTATATAATCAGGAAATCCAATATGTTCTTCCATCATTTCGGCCTAAAAATGAAAAAAAAGGACGATGAAATGTAGACGAAAACAAAAATGAATCAAAGATAAATCATATCCGATAAAACATTCAACAGAAAAACAGAAAGCCAGACGGATAAAGATAAACATCATATATCCGTGTACACACACCTTTTTTTTAGCATCATTACGTGTTTCATCATCCATCCATTCAACTTCATCCAATATAAGCATAAATTCTTTTTTAATATTTTTAATCATTTCTTCGGCCTGTGAATCGGAAAAACAAAATTGAAAAATTTCCAAAGATAAAAAACCCTAAAGGGTTAAAATAGCCACCATCATTGATTCACTTACTTTTTGTTTACTTTCAAGATCAAAATATTTTCGTACATAAAGGGCACTAACAGCTGTACCAAGATTACCATTAACAAAATCGATACATTTTTTCCAACGTGCTGGTATTGATTTCGTTCCATATTGATCACGATAATAATCTTCCAGAATATTTTCAAAACGTTGATCCAGATTTTTAATACGATTCATAACAAAACGCCAAAGTAGATAATTTTTTATGATTCTATTTCAAATTGAATCGACAGAAAAAAAATAAAAGGAAGCAATGAGCAAAATAAGAGAAAAAAATTCAATTGTAAAATCGGAAATTTTGTGATTGATTGAATAAAGGAGGGGAAAGAAATCAAAATGAAAAGAAATTATTGTTCGGACAATTGAAACGGAGGGGAAAAAATTGTTGGCCATTATCATTGATCATCATTCGATGATGATGATCAATAATAATGATGATGACAGGTGACAAGCAAGCAAGCAAGTAACCGACCGACCGACCGACCAATTCACAGACAAAAGACTTCCTTATTATTTTGAACAAAAAAAAATTCAAGTGTTCAAAATTTACAAATCAACAAGACAGATCAACACAGAAAAAAAGTCACACATTTTTGTGATTTTCCGACATTCAACCGGAAAAATATCCATTTTTGTTGTTGTTGAAAATTGAAAAATTGAAAAATTGAAAAACTGAGAAGAAAAAAAAACTTACCGTTCCGGAACTGTTTGTGTTATATCCTGAACATCAAGAAAATAATCAAATCCAAATATACCAATAGATTCAGTATCATTCAATGGTTGTGGTATTGTTAATTCAAAATATTTTTGCCAATTAATTTTCGGTACCAATTTAGCCAATTTATTTACAGGCATACGTTGATATGCTGCACCACCAGTTTTTTCAAACATTGATGATATATTTGCTAAACGTGTTTCAAATTCAAGAATATCATCAATATCAGTATGTATACGTTGAATTGTTTCATTTGATTGTAGCTGTTGATGTTGGTGTTGATGTTGATTTTGATTTGACGATGATGATGGTTGCATTAAAAGATTAACCGTTTTAATCATTAATTGTCGATATGATTGATAATTTTTACTTGATTTATTTAGGTAAAAATCACTACTTGACATTCCAAGACCACCAGGGTAGATCTAGTTCGAAATAAAAAAAAAAGAAATAGAAATGACATTCATTCATTCAAAATGATGCTGATAATTTTTTTTTGCTTACCTTGATCGAATAAAGTGATGAATTAGCATCATTTGGACCAACATTATGTCCAATGATTATTTCATTGTTATATTGTCGTAGAATGCCCATCATTGTGACCTGAAATGATGAAAAAAAATTACATTTGAAAATTTGTCATTCAAATTCAATAACAAAAGTATCAAAAAAAAAAAATGGCAAAGAAAACAAAATCCAAAGAGAGAGAAAAGAAAAGAAAGTGATGAAATCATTCACTATTTATAGCTCCGAAATGGCACCTATTGATAACAAAATTTTATCGATCAATTTTTGTTGTTGTTGTTGTTGTTGTCACAAAACGATTGATAAGTGCTTCTTTTTTTTCTTCTTGTGTGTGTGTGTTTATAATAAACTTTGATTTGACTTTCCAATGATGATGATGATGATGAGGATTATTTGTCCATTCATTCATTCATCATTGTGTAATGATGATGATAATGATCGGGGTAATTTTCTTTTTCTTTTTCTTCTGAACAATTTTGAAATGAACCGATTGAATGGATGTGGATGATGATGATGATGGAATGAATGAATCAATCGTTTGACTCTTTTTTTTCCATTCTGGAATCATTTTTAATTTTATCGTTTTTTTTGTTTTGTTTGTAAAATCGGAACAATCGTTTTCAGTATATACAATTCAAGTCGAGTTTTTTTTGTTCAGTTTGAACACCACAAACAAACAAAAACGAAAACGAAGCAAAAATCTTTTTCTGCTGTTGTTATTATCAAACGGAATACAAATCGGTGATATCGGTGCTTGACCTGTGTCCATCTCGTGTATGTATGTAATTGGCGTTTGTTCCTTTTTTTTCTTTCAATCTTTCCATTCATAAATCATGAATGAATGATGATGATGAATGTCGATTTTGTTCAATTTAGCAATGATAATGATGATGATCATCATCATCATTTCACTTTCTTTTCTCAATTTTTTCAAAAATTTAAAAAAAACATACCCAATCCATTGTGGTTAATTTTTCCGTTTCACGACCAATCAATGACCAACCACCAAATTCTTGATCCAACAGGTCCAATAATGGTCGTTCCGCACGTTGTTCAATTAATTTTGTATCAACACAAGATAGGTAAAAATTTTTTACTTTACGTATTGCTTCATTATCTGCTTCGGTAATTGGTTCTTCAAGTAAAACTGGAAAATGGAAATTATTATTTACAAATACAAAAAAAATCTACAAAAGCAAACAAGACTTACGTTTTAATTTTTCTGACATTTGATTACGAATAACCGAATATGTATCAGCACGTGATTCATCATCAGACATTGAATTCGTACGAATCCAACCACCACATGAATATTCATAAAAATCAATACAAGGATCTATTTCTGAATTCATACTTGTCAGCATTTCAGCTGATGCTGTTATACAATCAACACTTAAACAAAGACTAGATGAATTTTGTTGGCTACGTATTGTTATAATTAAAAATCCAATCAATAATGATATTAATATAAATATTAAACAAAGTAATATTAATATCCATGTCCATAGATGGCTCCTTACAAATGTTATACGGCAACGAAATTCACTTGATCTAAATCAATCGATGATTTTCAATCAATTTAATGAGATTTTCAATTGAAAATTTGATTTAATAAAAAACCAAACTTACTTTAATTTATCTTCACTGGTAAAGCTATTTTTTTCCACTGATGATGATGAACTACCAGTTTCCGAATCATTCATTGATGAAACATGAATTATTTGATTCATTTTTGTGGGTTAAAAAAAGTTATTATTTTGTCGTTATCGTTTTGATCGTTCGTTGTCGTTATTTTTTCAATTTGTCCAATAATAAAAACGAATTACATCACATTGATACACTGACATATTACAGAAAAAAAACAGAAACAAACAAAAATATGAAGAAATCAGAACAAAAAATATGAAGAAATTTTTTTCAAAAAATTCAAATTTAGTATGAAAAAAACATCATGATTGTTATTGATTTGTTATTAATGTAGTTGCTGATTTTGATGATGTAAATTCATTCGAATCAGATGATGATGATGACCGGGATCTGATTAGAAACTTTTCAATTTTTTTTTGTTTTGAAGATCAAGATTAATATTTCAAGTGAGAGAGAGTGAGAGGGAGAGAGAAACTTTTTCGTTCAAAAGAAAAAATTTGTTTCTGTAAATGTCCGTTTCAAAAAACATTCTTCCCTCATTTGCTTTGCTTTTCGTTCTTCTTTTGAAGATTCAAGCAATGTTCCAGAAACACTAGTTGATGTTGGATTTTTTTTCTTCAACAAGTTTTCACTTTCACCATCATCATCATCATCATCATAGTTATCTGAAGAAGAAAACTATTTCGACTTTTTTTCTTTATTATCCCGAAAGTAAATGTAAATGTGATTCATTTTTTTTGTTGTTGTTGTTGTAAATAAATAATGAGACAAGTTAGAAATGAAAGAAAATGTTGCAATTATATCTACCTTGTTTGTTTGTTTGTTGATTTTGATTTGAAAGAAGTGGAAATAGAAATAAGAAGAAAAAACAAAAATCGTTTGTGTGGAAATAGCAAGCGAAAGAAAGAGAGAAAAAAGTGTTTGTTTCGAAAAAAATCGATTTTTGAATCCAAAATCAACAACAACAATGGTCAAGAAAGATAATAAAAATATTTTAAGAGAAAGTAATAAAGGAAATTTGAAAAGAGAAAACGGGACATTTCTGAAGCAAAAAAAAAGAGAAAGTTTCTGAGAAAAAAAAGAGAATTCATAGGAAAGAAGAAAAAGTTTATGGGAAAAATTATTTCAAAATGTTTTTCACTGTAACTTACATTGCTGCAACTTGATTACGTAAAACAAATGAAGGGTTTCTTTGGAATGAAAACTAGAAAATTTCAAGGGTTTTCTTCTCGTTCCAATGTCAAGTATGCGGAAATTATTCAAAATTTTGAAATGATGATGATGGTCAATGGTGATGATGAAGAAGATCGATAGAGAGAAAAAAATAATTAAAACATTTAGGTCGATTCGAATCAAAATTCAAAAACTTGTTCAACATTTAATGATGATTGTCGATGATGATGATCATTATGATTATACGATGAAACTTTAGATTGTTTCAAACAAAATTCAAAAAAATCAAATGAAAATTGTTTGTTTTTTTTGTTTTCATCAAAATGAATGAAAAGAAAATGCTGAAAGAGAGAATGTTGTTCTTTACATAATCATCATCATGATGATAAGTGATGATGAGTGAGGCTACCAAAAAATGGATGATATCCGGACCGAATATTATTATCGTTATACATTGCGACAATTTTTTTTCTCGAATCTTAATGTAATCAGCGGTTGATGATGATGATGACACTAATAATCATTTCAATTGCAAATAATGTTGTTTTGCAATTGAAAAAAAACATGAAAAAAAAACTTTCATAACATCGCTACATTCAATTGAATCCAATTGAAATGAATTGATGATTGACTTGATGAAATGTTTGATGTTTTTTTGGTTTTCATAACAAATCTTGATGTGGACACGGGTTAATTGATTTTAATTTGATTCCAAAAAAAAAGATTGTTTTTGTTTTGTTTTCGGTTGTTGTTTCTGGGGTTTTGTTTCTTTCCAATCACCAATTCAGAGCTGTTGAAATGAATAAATCAACAAAAAAAATTATTTCTAAAGGAAATTCAATTCATTTGGAAAATTGAAAATTGATGTAATTTACCCGAACAAAAAGAACAATGTTATAAACTTTGGTGACACAATGACAAATGATAATTTCAACAAATAATGATGTGATGTGATCATCATCAACATAATCAAGGAAAAACAAAAGTTCGTGTCCATTTTCTTTCTTCTTTTTTTTTTGGATGTTTGATGGCTGAAGGAAATGAATAATTTTTTTTTTGTTATGGAAAACGATGAAAGAAGAAGAAGAAATTAACACAATCAACAAAAACAGGAACAAAATGATTTTGATATGAGAAAATTTTTTGTTTTTCTTATTGTTTCAACCATAAAAACAGATCAGATTTTCTTCCTGTTTGTTTATGATTGTTGTGTGTGTGTGTGTGTGGGTGTGATGAAATAGATGATGGAAACAACAGCAAAAAAATAATCAGATTATTACGGTGTTGATGATGATGATTGAAATGAATTTTAAAATTTAAAAAAAAACAATGAAAAAAAATTGAAATTTTGAAAAAAAAATCGAGGCAAAAAAAAACATTCGAAAAGCCTGTTCATAAACAACGTACGGATATTCGAGCACACATGTTTTGCTATATTTTCGAATGTTCGAATCATCAAATTGTCATTGGTAACCAAGAATGGGAAAAAATCGATTCTGGATCAATAAATTTTCCTTTGGAAAAATTCAATTGATATCGATCAACTATGATCCCAATAATTTATTGTTGTTGTTGTTGTTAATCAACTCATCAACTCAATTTGAAGGAAAAACAGAACGGGAACAAATATTGATCCCTAAAAGAATGATGATTAATTAATGAAAAAGTGATCACAAGATAAGTAAATTTGCATAAGTTTTTTCCATTTTTCTATTTCTATTTCATTTTAGCATTCATTTGTAACAACAACAAGACCGCCATCATCATCATCATCAATATTTTTTGATCCAAATGGAAACAAAAACGGAGATAAACATTTTTGCCGTAAGACTTTTTTACAATTTTTATAGGTAAAGTTTACTGTGTTCCTTCTTTCAACTTGAACTTGAAAATTTTTTTTTTCGAATTCAAGTTATTAATGATGCAAACTGTTTTAATCGATTTGTCTTCTCGTTTTTTTCCTTGTTATTAAATTAGTATGACCGGATTTTGTTTCGGACGATTCGAATGGAAACAACGATGGTCAATGATTAAATTAACAATTATGTTAACATTATTTATCAATGCAATATTTTATATGTATATTCAATCAAAAAATCATCATCAATATAATAATTATATATTGGCAACAAAAATCAGTCAAAATGTATTTGGTCATTTTATTGATATGGGAAATTCATTCATATTTTTCCTAGTATTTTTCGTTGCATATTTTGTTTATTCATTTAATGGTTTGGATTTAATATCATTAGCAAATTCATCGATATTTCAACAAATTTATTGTGATAATTCAAGAAATCGTATTATATCTTCGGCTATATTTATAATGGCTATTGTGAATACTTTATTACTTTATATATCGTGTTTTGATGAAGTATCAGTCAATTTGGAAGCGATCAATGGATCTTATATTGTTTATAATCTATTTATTGGTTATTTATTTTTTTTAATTCATATGGCTGAAATTGGTGTACGTTTAGTATTTTATTATTTTAAAAATGCCATCCGAAGATTATTACAACGAATTGAATTACAATTCATTTCGAATGAAATTAATGATGAACAATGTCTTCATACTATACGTAAATTGACAAATATTTCAATGAAATTTCATCAAAAAGCCGGTCTATTAGGATTAATCTATATATTTGAATGGTCATATTATTGGATACAAACATTATTACAAATTCATATTGGTTTACTAAATTATTTTCAATTAATAATGATATTTATAAATACATTATGTATATTTCATTGGATATGGATGGATTATCAAATTCAAAAATCATTTAAAAATATAATCAAACAACTTTGTTGGCGAAATAATCAACAACAGCAAAATTTTAAAATCAAAACAACAAAATCAATGAAACATTTATTGCAGATATTGGATAATGAACGTCAAACAACAATGGATATTGATCAATTATGGCCATTATTTGATCAAATTGGTGCAATTTGGTTGATAAAAATTCGACCACAATTACGTAATCAGATTAGATATTTTGAAATGTCGGAATTATATCAAGAATATTTTCGAATGAATTTTTATGATTTTTTTATCTATGATCAACGATTTCTGCTATCAATGATTATATTTTCTACCAGTTATTTTGTATTGATAATACAAACCGAAAAATGAAACAAAAAAAAAATGGGAATTTTCTCGAAAAAAAACAACGCTTATTACATCATCAACGATAATTTCTTTTGACATAATTATTATGTTTCATTGAATGTTTAATTAATTAATTTGTTGTCAATCAATCAATCAATCGATAAAAAAAACGAAGGAACAAATATCGATCATTATCATCATCCGCATGATCACACAGTATTAATATTGCAAATTCACCTCCGTTAAATTTCTTTTCCTTTCATTCAAATTTAACGTCTTGTTCGACACAGTTTAACACAATTTGATCTTGATCCTTTTTTTTTATTGAAATGAAAAAAAAATGAAGATTAAAATATTCATCGTAAGACTTTATTACAATTTTTACAGGTAAAAGCCACTACTAATCCAATGAACTTGAAAATTTTTATTAACTTGTTTTTCTTTCGATTTCTCTCGGTCAAATAAAAAGCTCGATTGGATTTTGTTTTGGTCGTTTTGATTGGAAACATCGTTGGTCAATAATTAAATCAATTATTATGATAACATTATTTTTAAATTGTTCATTTTTTATGTATGAACGTTATCGACGTAAATATAAAGGAATATCGGCATCGAAAATCAGTCAAAATGCATTTGGTTTACTTATTGATCGTGTAAATTCATTACAATTTATGTTTTCATTTATTTTATCATTTCTAGTATTTTCAATCAATGGTTATGATTTAATACGTTTGGCTGATTCATCAATATTTGCCCAAATATATACGGATAATCAGCGAAATCATATTATATCATTGGCTATATTAATATTCACAATTTTAGATGTTTTATTTTTATATAAGTGCTTTGGTGAATGGTCTATCCGATTTCAAACATTATCATCATCATTATTGGAAATAATTAATTTATATACAATGATAATAATGTTATTCAACGCAATCTTAGTACGATTAATGTTTGTTTATTTTAAAAATGCAATACGATTATCATTACAACGAACTCGATTACAATTGGAGCAAAATGCAATTACCGATGCTGAATGTATTTGTACTATACGATTATTGGGACAAATTTCAATGAAATTTCATTCAAAAGCTGGCTATTTAGCATTGATATTTTTTTTGGATTGGACATTTTATTTGATACATACATTATTAACAATTCATCAAGGTATTTCAACAATTTTCTATATGATCATTGTTGTGCTTAATTTATCAATTACATTTTTATGGCTATTTATGGATCATCAAATTCAACAATCATTTAAAAATATAATCAAACAACTCCGGTGGAGAAATGATCAACAACAACAAAATTTTAAAATACAAACATCAAAATCAATGGAACATTTATTGCAGTTATTGGATCATAAACGTCAAAATTCAATGGATATTGATCAATTATGGCCATTATTTGATCAAATTGGTACAATTTGGTTGATAAAAATTCGTCCACAATTACGTTATCAGATTAGATATTTTGAAATGTCTGAATTATATCAAGAATATTTTCGTATGAATCTTTATGATTTACTTATTTATGATCAACGATTTTTACTATCAATGATTATATTTGCTTATGGTTATTTTGTATTGATAATACAAACAGAAAAATGACAAAAAAAAATATTAAAAATTACGATCGTTAGATGGCAGCACTCGTTTCAAAAAATAGACATTTCATCAACAAAAAATCATTTCATCAAACAAAATTAGTTGGAATTTTTTTTTATTATTTCATTTTATTACATTACATTTGATTTGAAAGGAAAACAAAAAGAATTTTTGACAATGATAATAAACATACAATGTATATACAGCAACAACAACAACAACAATAACAATAACAAAAAGAATTGAAACACATTAATCACATTAAATGATATAATCGATTCGGCGGAAAATGATGATGTTGTTGATGATGATGATGGCGTGATGTAATATAATAGATCTAACTATCTATCTATCTGGTCAGTCAGTCAGTCATATAGTCCGTGGATATATGATTAATGATGATGATGATGGGGATGTTGATGATGATGATTTTCATTTTCTTTTCATCCAATTTATCGATATTTTTCAACAAAAAAAAAATAATGTCGATGATGATGATGATGACCAAATTTCGATTTTTTTCCATTTCTTTTTCACGGTTGTCATTTGGAACGAAAAAAATAAAGTATAGAAATATAGATAATGTCAAATGTTTTGAAAAAAAATAAAAATTTGATTTTTTTTTCGTGTTTTTTTTGTTTACATTTTTACAATTTCAAACATGGTTATCTCTATTTGTATGTGTGGGTGTACGTCATGTCATTTATGAATCGATCGAAATGAGCGGAACAACAATGTCAAAACATTCGATTCGATCATTTTCTTTTCGTTGTTGTTGTTGTTGTCATTGACGCCCGTCGCCCATGATAATAATAATGATGTTTTATCAATGATTTTTCAATGTATTTTTCGGGACTGCCAGTATTATCATTTTTAAAATTCAGTTATTTTTAACCGAAAAAGTATCTTCAAAATGCAACATTAAACTTGTGTTGATGATGTTTTTATTGAATGTTGATTAAAATTTTTTGAAAATGTTTGTCGAAATGTTTTTGTTATTTTACTGAAATCATTCTGTAGGAAAAAAAAGAAGACATTTGATGATGATGATAACAATCGAAGAAATTGTGAATCGATTAAGGAATTGGAGAAAAAAAATTAGGGGAGAAAGAAGAAAAGAATTTGATTAGTGAAACGTCGACGTCATCAATGATCATAAACAAACAAAACAAGCAAAAAAAACTATGATAATAAACTAAAATAAACAGCAGAAAGAAAAAAAAGCTAAGATAATTATCAAGATTTATTGAATGAAAAACTGATTTCTTTTCAAATCTTAATGTATACACCCTTGATCATTATGTAATCATAGAAATTTCATCTCGGAGAATTTATTTCTTCTTACTTTATTCGCACAATGATAATAATAATAATAATAATAAGCTAAAAGCTAAATAATAATCATAAAAAAAATCACATTATTATTCTTGATTCACTACTTTTATTCAGAATAAAATATAAAAGTCAAGAAGAAGAATTCTTTACAATTCTTTGAATATATAATTATCTCCAGCGATGATAATTGTAGATTTTTTTCACTCAGAATTTTTTTTTTACGTAAACATGTTTTTCTTTCTAAAATATTTTCATTATTTTTTTTGAATAATGCCAAAACAAAAGGAAAAAAATATTTGATTTTCTTATTCAGACAAAAAAAAAGAACAAGAACTTACCCGAAAACTTTTACTCATAAATGAATAAATAATTGGATTAACAAAACTATTTGCCATTGCCATCCAATGACAAATAAAATATAAACAAATCATTGCATATAATTCACGTTCAGTACAATAAGCAATTAGTCCATAATCATTTAGAAATTGATATAATTTGATTGGCATCCAACAAATTCCATATAATAATATAACGGTAAACATCATTTTGATTGTCTATAAAAATTAATTAATTAATTTACGAAAAAAAAAGAAAACAAACAGAAAAACAGAAAAATAAGTAAATAAATAAATAAATTACAAAGCAAAAAATACAAAAAGAAATGGAAAGAAAATGTGTAAAAGTGTTAACAGATTTACTGAAATTACTCAAACAACAAATTACTATTCGACAACAAGAGAAAAAATACAAATTACTTAAAGATTATTATCAAAAAAATACATTAAAATAAATCGAATGTATCGATCAATCGATGAAATGATCCATGTGTTTCTTTTTCGTAGGAAAAGAAAAAAATTCACAACCAATTTAATCGATTTGTTGTTGTTTTTTTATTCAATCGATTAGGCAATAATAACAACAACAAAATGGCTGTGATAAAGGGAAAGAAAAAAATCAATTTTCAATCGAACTAAATTATTGATTACTGAATGGAAAATACCATCAATTGATGCTAATGAGTTACCCAACGGGAATTTATTATGATATAGTTTGCTTTTTGTTTTCTTCGGTTATCCTATAACCATCATGAATGTTTTTTTTTCAATCAATATGGTTATAGGGAATGAATATAGTAAATCAAAAGTAAATTTCATCATCCAGCGTATGTGGTTTCCGTTTCCTTATTATTTACCATCATTATCATCATCGAATGAATAAATGATGAAATAGAAAAAAAAAGTTAAACAGGAAAACACACATAAAGCTTTAGAATTTTTTTGTGATTACTGAGAATAAAAAAAAAAATTCAGGTAAATTCTGGTTGATCCAGGTGAATTCTCACTAATGAACATCGTTGTGTATCGATATTACTACACTGCAAAAAACAAAACAAACGAATGTTTCCGGTTGAAAGAATATTATTTAATTAAATTTCTATTTCTACCCAATAATATGGTTAATATTCTAACCACGCGTCAATGCTGAGAATGTTAATCTAATATTTGATTCGATCCATAGGAAAAATGTTATTTTTGATAAAAAAAATATTATTATTAAAAATCAAACCTTTGAACGATAATTGAATGGTGTAGATTTTCTTAAATCAATCTGACTAGTTGATGTTGATAATTGATTTAATGTTGCTGTTGTTGTTGTTGGTGTTATTGTTGTTGTTGTTGTTGTCGGTGTTGGTATTGTTGTTGTTGTTGTTGCTATCGATTGTTGTACAGATGAATTTGTAATCCTTTTTATTGATAATTCTTCAGCTGATAATCGTAGACGACCATTTGGATAGCCAACAATATTGTTGTTGTTGTTTTGTTTGTTATTGATCGTTTTTGATTTTTGAAATGTTTTTGTTGATAAACAACAAGGCCCCGATTTTATTGTTTGACGTTTCTTTTTCTGTTGTTGTTGATGATGATTACCATGATGATGATGTTGATGATGATTACATGAATCACATGATGATGTCAAACTATTAACACCAACATCACCATCACCGTCATCATCATTAATATCACTTAAAATTGATGATGGTCTTATAATATCCATTTCGGATGAATTTATTATTGTTGTTGTTGTTGCTATATTCATAGCAGTGGTTGTTGTTGTTGTTGATGTAGTTGATGTTGATATTGGTGATGATAATGTTTTTGATAATTTTTGTTTCGAACAACAACTACAACAACAACGACATTTACAATTATTCTGTTCATTTAACACTGAATTATGATGATGATGATGATTATTGGCTAAATGATGACAAGGTTTAGTCGGTGTTAATGATAATGATGATTGTTGTTGTTGATCACTATTATTATTATTACTTATACTTGGGCTATTATTATCTGATAAACTTTTACGTTTTGGATTATTTGATGGATTATTATTAATAGATTTACAAATTGTTGATTTAAATTTAACACCATATGCATGATTAGATGATTTACGAAAACGTTTTTCATCGGCTATCAATTTACGCATTATAGCCGAATAACTAAATATTAATACTGTTAATGGTAATATAAATGTTAAAACAATATTTGATGTCATAAATAAACGTAATTTTAATACTGAAACACCATTATCATATGTACATTCATAATATGTTGTTTGATTATCCGATGGTAACATAAATGGACGTGTTGCTGTATTTTCAAATGGTATATATGCATATGCCGAACCAAATACCCATGTTAATGCTAACATTATATGTGTATGACATTCTAACCAATGATGTAATGATGAAAATGGATGTAATGTTGCCATATATCTTTTTTGATTGATTGATTGTTGGTGATGATGATAATGAATTCGAAAGAAAACCGAAAGAAAAAAGAAAAAAAAACAAACAAATTATTAGACAGGCAGGAACATGAGTAAATCGAATCTTTTTTCAACTATCGATAGTATCGAAATTGTTAATATCGATAATCATATCATTAAAATTTTGAATATTTCGTTCATCACTTTATCAGTGATGTTTAATTGTTGAGCTTATGTTTAAGTAAAAAAAAAGAAGATCAAAAATCATCATTCATTCGATCAATGGAACATGAAAAAAAAAGATACAATCCAAACTGAAATTAGAATTGAGTTTTTCCAATTTGTTTTATTCTTTTCTTTTCTTTTTTTTAAAAATAAATAAAATTCCAATTTTCTTAAAAGTTTTTCTCAACAAACAACGAAAAAAAACAAACAAACAAAGATCAAATACAGGATGTAGAAAACAGAGAAATGAACAATGTCAGCAAATTGTAATCAAGTATCAGGAATCACGAAGAACAAAAAAAAAGTCGACATCATTTGTCAAGCACGAGAGGAACGAAACGAACAAAGAAAATATCCATTCCCAAAACTAAGATAATTATAACCGATGGTAAAAAAACAACAACATTTGAATGTCGAATCTATTCAAGAATTCTTCGGAATGGTTCGGTTTTTCCATCAGGTCATTCATTGGATATCATTCATTCATATCTGATGATGATCGATGATTGTATCCGACAACCAAACCTAAACCAAATCAATCATCGATTCATCTATTTGTCCGAACAACATCATCAGATGTACAACAACAACAACAACAAAAAAAAAATAATGTTTACCCGATAAATAATTTTTCGGGTTTTTTTTGTTGGAAAAAAAAACATCAAACCTCGAATCGGAAGTTAGTTTGATCAAACCAAACAAACAAAAAATGAATTCATTAATTTTTTTTTTCTCTGTTAGTTTTTTTTAATTGAATCAAGAAAATATTCCCAGGAAAAATTAATTATGTATATGAAAAAATGAAAGAAATTTCCACGGAAACAGTTAATATATTATCCGTTTGTTTGTTTGTTTGTTGTTTACAACTTTATTTTTTTGTTTTGTAATCATCGATTTTCATTTTCATTTTTTCGTTATTCGCAAAAAAAGTTTAAAATTTTATCTTTCCCTCACTTTCTATCGTCGTCATTCTTTTTTTCTCGATAATGGCCTCTGAATTTTTTTAAAAAAACCATGAAAATAAATGTACGAAACCGAATTGCACCCCGATAAACAAGCTTAACCGAACATGTTTATCAGCCAAAAATATATTCATAGTGTTAATATGGATCCTAATAAATAGAAAACCCAGAGAGAGAAAAGCTTTCATTCTTTGTTAACACTTCATCATCATTGTAGTCATTAAAAGATTCTGGATTATGGACCAGCAACGAAAAGCGAAGAAAAAAACAGAATTTAAGGCACCAAACAAAACAAAAAATGATAATGTTTATGAATAACATTGTGAATAACTTAACACCCAGGCTGCTTAAAAAATGAACGAAAAAACTTATGAAAATTTTTTTAGTTAAAGAAGAAAAAAATCAATTTAAAATGAATGAATGATTCATAAGAATTTGGGAAAATCCCTTTTTTTCTTGGATGTTTTTTTTGGCTAATACCAAGATCATTGGGGGTTAAAAAAATGACTTTGAAATTCATTGGAAAATGTACATTTTGTTTGTTTGTTTGTTTGCTTTGTTTCGATTTGGTCTGATAACAAACTAACAAAACATCAGATACAAATCAACCGGAAAAAAATTCAAAAATTCAATGACAGAAATTGACAGAAATTCTGTAGTCGGTCGGTTGGTTGATGTGATGAAATTCATTCCGGGTAAAAAAGGAAAAACCGAAAAAAAAACTACGATGTCCAAACCGAACCTGGTGGAATTCCGATGAAACAGACATTTTCAAATGAAAGAAAAATACATTTTTTTTGCATTCAAAAATCAAACAAACAAAAAACCGAAAAATGAATGAATTTCGGAAAAAAAGGGAAATTCAGTTTTCCCCTTAATTTCACCAAATCATTCATTCATTGCATTCATGAATCGATTATAAATTCATATTCAAAATGAAAATGCGAAAAAAAATTATTCAAAAAAATGAAGCCAGGAATTTGCATTTGAATTAGTCAGAAAATTTCAAAAAAATTAAAAGAAATTAAAATCAAACCGAATTAAAAATTTGCATATTTTTTTCCCTACAACAACAACAACAACAATTTCTGCCATTCTAAGGTCAGCCAGCCAGACAACAAAGAAGCAGCAGAATATTCTTGTTTTCTTCCAATGAAAATAGCATTTATTATTATTGAGATGCCAACAAGCCAGTCAGTATAACATAACCACCAGTGAAAATGAATTCAAGTGGATGAAAATAGAATCAATAGAATATTCTTTATATTCAGAAAAAATTTTTGAAAAGAATTTCGTTTGTTACAATTTTTCTTTTTTTTCAAAAAAAAACCATGACAGTGTGTGGGTGTGTGTTAATGGTTAGTTATAGATATTCTTCGTTTCGTTTCGTTTCTTCTTTTCTTACTCAATTTATTTAAATTAGTTTTTTTTTTATTTTCGGGTTTCGGGTTTCGTTTCTTGTTTTTCGGGTTTTTGGGCAAAGTCAACGAAGAGAGAGAGAAATGTTAAAAAACAGAATTTTTCTGGATCAAATGAAAAACACACACAAGACATGGACAACGATCACTATCACCAGAATCAAAGTATCAAAATCTCAGAACCAGAATTAGAATCGGAATCTCAAACAACAACAACAACAACAGAAATGATAATAAGATTTTCAAAATAAGATCTGATAAAACGAAATAAAATCATTTGAAAATCAGAAAAACCAAGTAGCAGAATTTAAGTTTTAGAACAGAAAAAGAAACAAAAAGAAAAAAGTATCTAGATAATCAAAATAAACATCAAATGACCAGTGAACATCTTCTTCTTTTTTTGTTCAGCTTAGTTTAGTTTGAAAATAAATTGGAATTTACAATTTTTGTGTTTCTTTCAAATCAAATCTTTCCTTTTTTTCAGGACAAACAAACCAAACCAAAGCAAAACCAAAAACTTCAAATGAATGTTTCGATCATTTTGATGTTTGTTTGAAATTAGTTGGAAGAAAAAAGCAATTAAAAAATAAACTTAAAAAAAAATTTTCAATCAAAAAAAAGTGCAACTGATTCGGGTTTTGGTTTTTCTGTTTTGTTTTTGGTTTTTTGTTCAAAAAAAACCAAAACTTTCTGATTTAATGATTTCCTGATTTTGATGCAAATGATTCTTTTTTCGGTGAATAATGAATGAGTGTAAGCTAGAAAAACATTCAATGTGAGGATAACCTAACCCAGAACAACAGCAAGATGATGTTTAGGTTAGACAAGGTTGCCAGTAGAAAATTTTTAATTAAATTTTTGGCTTCCATCATTTTTTAATCATTATCATTATTTGCCATTGGGTAGAAATAGTAATTTTGAAAAAAAAAATTTCAATCAAAAAAGGTAAAAATGAATCAAAAGGCAATCCATCATCAATGTTGTCAATATAGTCAATGTTGTTGTTGTTGCAGATGTTTTCGATTGACAAACCAGAAAAAAAATTTGAAAAAAATTGATGATTCCGGAGAAAGAAGCGCCAGAAAAAATAAATAAATTTCTTCAATCAGGTTTTTCTCCGCATTTAACCCAAGCAAAACAGCGAGAAAAAAAAAGAAATTTCCCGGGAATATTTTTTGTCAACCAAAATAATAATCACTGTTGTTGAATGATTTTCCACATCAACAAATTTTTTCCAGTGAAAAAAAATAATTTATTAATTTTAACAACAACGTAAAACGAAAATGAGAAAAATGATCGTAAATTTTTGTCTAAAATGAAATTAAGAAACTAATCAAAGCAACCAGAAAACCAGGAGAGAGAGAGAGAGACGATCCAATTTGAAACACCGTTTCGTTTTGGGTCGTTTTTTTTCAAAGAAAATTAATGGCGACACATTTAGCCAAAATCATTGAATAAATTTTCATTGGATTGTACACACACATTAACCAAAACAAAACAAAACAAAACAAAACAATATCATCTCACTAAATGAAGGAAAGGAAAATATTTTTTGTCATTCTAATTCCTTCGGGTCATTTTTTCCATTACCGACGGTAATTTTGTTTGTTTGTTTTTTTGTTTGTGTGAAAATTAGATTAAATATCTTACAAGTAAGCATCCAGCAATGAGAAAAACAAAAAACAAAAAAAAAACAACCCAGAAAAGACTTGAAATGAAATTAACCATTCGTTCATTCATCCATCCATCCATCTTTTTTTGTTTCTCACTTAGTGTTTATCTTTTAATCAAATAAAGCGAGAAAAAAATACTCTTCAAAAGTGAGAATTTTGTTTGTTTGTTGCGTTTTTTGACACATTTTGCTTTGCAAAACAAAATTAAAAACTTTTCTGCTCGGTTTTTGTTTTTGTTTGTTGACGATTTAAAGCTGATAATATAATCTGCACAATTGTTTTTGTTTTGGATTATCATTTATATGGTGACGATGATGATGATTCCAAAATGAATCAAGTTTTCAGAATGTCAAACAAACAAAAATTATTTCCATAACTTTTTCATTTGTATTTGAAAACACAGACAAATGACAATCGCATCCCACACAAAGTCAGAAAAAAAAGTTTTTTTCGGTTGTTTTTGTTTCGCAAAAGTCAAATCAAACATAAATCATTAATTGGTTGGTTGAAAGAATATTCATCCGGAAAAAAAGAGATGATGACAACCCAAAAACAAACAAATAACCGAAAAATGTCAACCCTATGTATGTTTAAAGGGGAGAAAAAAAAGCTATAATTCATTATCATCGTCGTTGTCGTCATTATAATAATCTTTGTTGCAGAACTTTGATAACCATGATTATTATTTTCTATTTCTTTTAATTGATAATGAGATGTTCAAACAAATTCGGTTGATGATGATTCTGATTTCATATTTTGTCC